GAGAACTTGCACAATTGGTGGCTGACTAAATACTTTTTTGCCCCACTGTATTTCTCTCTTCAAAGTTAACAGAATTAATACTCTGTATCCCAGACAAGAGTAATTTGATACTGATATAAGAAGCTGCCTTATACAAGATTGCTCTATATGGCCCAGCCACATTTACTCTGACAGTAGTGCTAATGGAAGAATTAAAAAAAAAAAATAGAAACACCAGGGATTTAATTTGAGAGATTGTATATGCAGAATATCTTCTTTTATTCTGTTTCTACATACAGAAAAACCAGTATTACCTGTTTTATAGCAATTTTGTTTCTATACCCAAAAAGAACACATTTATGAAATGTCATACAAGCTGCTTTGTGTATTTCAGTATTTCTATTTTAGAGGAACATGTGCAAAATCTGCATATCATATAGGCTAATTCTTCAGGTCCATATGCCTTCACTAAGGCTACTGGTTGTAGCAAAGAATTAGAATTTTCTGTATCTCTTTGCTGCCATCTACTAGTCATCCAGACTTTTATAGCCCAGAACCTGTAGCCATAATCTCTAGCACTGAGGAAAAAAGAGTTGATCATTCCTGAAAATAATTTCCACATTTATACCGACAGGAGACATATCTCAACTCTGAATTGGTAGTGTGATAGTAATACAGATGTCCAACTATTGGAGGGAAAAGAGTACCTTCTGGGGGAAGGAGGCCACTTACCAACAACACTCTAAACTCTTCCAGGTCTAGGGAATGCTCAAACTGACTATGCCAAATAATAAACTCCTAAATTAATTTTACTCCTAATAGATGAAAGTACAGTAATGATGATAAAATTTTATTTCTCTTAATTTTCAAAGGCTGTATGTGTGACTTCTGGGGTATTGATGGCTTAATCCAGACAAATATGAGTTAGATCATTCACTGGAGAACTGTCTATTTTTAAGTGGAAATGTTTCAAAGACCAAATTTTCAGAGTTCTTGGATGAACAAAGAACACACGTGAGTTAGTCGTGCTACAAGCCATAAGGTCACCTGTCAGGTTGACTTTATTTGCTTGTGATTTTCTTTCTCAGACAAACAGCTCATGTTTTACAGCTCTTATGTTCTTCTGCCTCGCTTATTTACATTTGGCACCCTTTCCCCCATTTTTCTTAGGAACAGATAAGTTATGCCTTCATGTGCTTTGCAATGTAACTATTGAACAGTGATAGTAATTTGCCTTTTCTGTGTGGTCCTGCTTTTTCTTCAGTAGTAGGCAAAAACCGTTCCTGATAAAATGTTGCTTTGTCAGTACTGTAATAAGCTAAATGTTACTCAAGCCAGTTCTCGTGAAAAATGAGAGCTAGTTTTGCCTCAACAAGCTTTGGTATCCAGGAAATTGAAGGGCAAAATAAAAATTAAAAAAAAAATAGAGAAAAGTGCCACCTGTTGGTAACTCCTTTCATTTAGGAGTAAAAAAGAATATTAGTGTGCAACGTTCTAATATTAATGACTGAATAAATGGAGATGTACCTCCCAACTTGGTTAAAGTCTTTCTTTAAAAAGTCAAAACAGTCTAACCAACAGAATAAATATTGAGAACTCCTTAAGTGAATTGCAACATTCTACTCTAATTTCATGGAAGCTGTATTTAATCCGAAGGTACTTGTGACAAAAGAATACCTGCTTATTCTCTGACATTTCATACTCATGACTTCATAGTTATATAATATCATCAGTTTTGTCTGTTGCCTTTTAGAATAACGCTTGAAGCAACTCACAAGAAAAATAAACAAATTATAAGTATATTGGTAAAGATAAAATCTCCTTTGACTCAGCTTAACTCTCAATGCCTTTGCAGGCACATCCATGCAGTTTTCTGGGCAATCATAGAAAAGTGGTTCCCCATTGCCTTCTTCTGGGATGTTTTTCAACTTCTCAGAGTAGCTTATGATCCCAGTTTTTCTCATCCAAATTCTAACCTGGCGTGACTGTGCTGTGCTTCTGATTCCAAGCAAAGTCAGTCAGGTGCTGCCACCTGCTGAGGAAATCTATAGATATTAACATACTCATAAATAATTAGGGCCTTTCCCCACTGCCATGTTCAAATGATATTCACCTATATCAGCAGAATATTATCCCAGCATAACATTTGCTGTTCCCATTTTCCAATCTCCATCCTGCTCCTATCGCTTCTGTTTTAGCTCACTGCCAAGTAGTGGTACCCAGATTATGCAGGATGTGTTAACAAAACAATGGGCCAGACCCTCTGGCTTTGCTGCCCTACCCCTTTCCAAATGACAGTGATGTGAAAATGGAGCTTGGGAGGTGATAAGTTCTGATGGGCGGCTTGATCTGTGCCCTCCTGCTTTATCCCACATAGCAAAGCAGGAAAGAGTGAGTCTGCTCCCAAATGCTGCAACCTAAACAGCTATTCAACAGGGTTGCAGATGTGCTCAGATTTGAAAGATGGCTTAAACTGCACTCCGCTTTCACTCTCAGGAGAGTGCAGATTTAGTGTTTTCAGAACTCCACACTGCTAAAAGCCCAGGGAACAGTTGAATATACAAGCTTTCTGATTTATTTCATTCTCAGTAGTCTTTCAAAATCTAGCCCCCATGCAAGCCCACAAAACACAATAGTAGCTCCAAAGTTATGCCAATATTTTTTTTCTACAGGGAGGGAACAAAGACAGCAGTGGAGGACAGTATCTAACAACTGGAGGGCGGAGGGTGTGCCCACAGTAACCTGAAGAGGCCAGTAGGCACAGGGCTAATTTGTTGATGTCAGCCTCTTGGTTGCTTTCAGTTTAAGGAAGAGTTTATGGCTTCTTTCAAATGGAGGGTGGCAGTGAATGAAGTGTGTGCAGGGTATTTCAGGGAAAATGTACTCATGCCTACAATGAAATAGAGCTTTGTTGCTGTGTTTGCGTGACACATCTAGCTGTGGTTAAATTAAGCAGGGTTTAGGTTGCAAGAAGATACTACCTGAATGTTAAAAAAACTTACTAATAGAAAGAGCAGTTCTATAGTAGAATCAGTTACCTCAAAGAGATGATGGAAGTTCCTTCACTAAATGTATCTAGGCCAGTGTCTCTCAACCTTAGCAACTTGAAGGTGGGTGAGCTTCAACTCCCAGAATCCCCCATCTAGCATGGTGGATGGACTTCAACTCCCAGAATCTGGGAGTTGAAGCCCTCCCACCTTCAAGTTGCCAAGGTCGAGAAACACTGGTCTAGGCAAAGTCTGGACACCCTATGCATACTGAAGAAGCCCCTCATCTGACTTATTGTTTATAGGAACCACCTTACCATAAATTCATTTAAGTGGTCAGGCATTTGGCTAACATTATTGTTAAACGTTTTAGCTTAGCTCCAGTTCATGAACTTTCACCGATTGTTGTTTCCCGGGAAATGTCCCCCTTCCTTCCCATGCCCAAAACCGAGAGAGATTTCATTTCCCCCGCTGGCCCTTACTTCCGACCAATTCCTTCCGACCAATTCAAACGGTCCCTGCCGAGGTGGCCGCTTTTGCGTCGGCGGACAGTTTTCTCTGCCGTCCTCCCCTTTAAGGCAGGAACGCCGTTACTAGGGCGGTCGGAGGAGCGGGTAAACTGAATCCCTCCGGTGGCAACAATCGGGGAGGCCCTTGGTTCCGCTGCGGTTCTTGAGGTGCCATGGCGTTCCCTTGCCTGGTAAGGGCAGCGCTGAGGGAGGCCGAGGCGCCGTCGGACTTGGCTCTGAGGAGGGCGGTTTCGCCGTGCAGGCAGCAGCGCAGTCGCGGAGGGAGAAAGTGGGGCTGGATCGAGCTGGGGAGAGCCGATGGGAAAAGAGAGGCGAGGCCGGCCCGAGGCGGAAAGTGTGCGCAGAGAGCCAGGCCCGGCCGAGCCGCGGGAAGCAGAACTCGCGGCTGGGCCGGTGCCTTGAGCCGCCGCGTTGGACGGGCTCAGCCCCACGTGACCGACCCCAATCGTGGGAAGCTGCCTCGGCGCCGAAGGAGGGGGCGATCCAGAAGTTGCGCCACATCATTCTAGATCTCAGCTGCGCTGAGTTGCGCTCTGAGGGTTGCATCTAATATTCCTCCACACTAAGGGAGGCTCAGACTAGGAAGAGAGGAAATGTTCCTGAGCGGAATGCGAAAGTCCCCCTTGCTTAACGATCTTCTAAGGCTCTGGGGGGTTTAAGTAGGTTAGACTGTGCTTGCTGCCAGTACAGCGCCTGTCCTTCTGTGCCTGGAAGGAAACCCTCCTTTTTTGTTAGTAACACGTATATGGATACACGGAGTGAAGATTTTCTCTTTAACAAATCCTTGTGCTAGATTTATTTTTTTGTGATGGGTTCCTGTGTCCCTATACATCTTTATCAATATTATCAGTATTAAAAATGTAGGAAGCCTTTCCCTTTCTCCCCTCACCCCGGAGGGAGGAGGAAGTATCAATAGAGGCGAATATGTGTAGCTCAGGGTTGAACTGTGGAGTCCCTGGGGCTCTCTGAGCTTGGTTCTTTTCCTGCAAACGTTTGCAAGAAAAGAACCAAGCTCAGAGAACCCCAAGGACTCCACAGAAAAAGTATCAGGAGGCTACTCAAGTAGAGTGGTGACAGTTTTCAAAAATGGACGTAGATTATTTGAAAGCCTTCCTGAATCATAGATTTTTTCTTTTTTTAACTATGATTAACAAACATTATCAAGTAACTAAATTAACATAATTCCAAGATGCATAGAGAAAAAAAAGTATGAGAAATGTAAAAAGATCTAAAATGTAAGTAAAGAGCCAGGCACTGTACATATATGTCAAGTATTACCATATTATAGTCTATTGCTATTGAGGTAAACCATAAAATCCATCCAAATTTGGTATAATTGTTGTTCCTGCCTCTGATGTCTCATTATTTTATGATCTTTTCTAATGTGGCAATTGAAGAGGCCTTGTTAATCCATGTCTCAATTGTTATATTACCTAGAGTTTTCCAATGTTGGGCAATTATTATCTATTCCTGAATCATAGATTATCCCTATTAGTGTGCTTCAGAATTTATTGTATATTGAATGTCTTGATCATAATTGCTAAGATTCCTTTTTTTTTTTTTTACACAGCTATAGGCTGCAGGAGTCTCTCTTCTTTGATGATGAACCATTCTCTAAATATATGATAAAGAACAAAGCTACTCTGAAACCAAAATATTTTTTGCTTTTTATATGGTGACAAAGTTGCTTTCTGGACAGATGTACATAGAAGCTATTCATTTTGATTCTGAAATGCAAAATCAGAAATTTGGGGGGAAAATTAGTCCAGAAATGTTATTCTTCCTGTTGCCCTGTTAGTAGTATTTGGGCAATGTGCAAGTGCTGCTTGGCTTGCCAGTTTAATTGTGATCTCTGACCACTGCAATTTACTATTACAGTGGTAAGAAATGGATTGCTGAATATTATGATTCCAATTATTTTTATTTTAAAAATCCTAAGTGTCAGGAGAGTGCTGTAATAGCTGTTAATCCCAGTACCTCTTTGCTGGAAGTATGGTGTGAAAATGTAATCTGTCATGATTTCATGTACCTATATTTTATAGGTACTTATTGCTATTAAGTATGAGATAAAATCAGCTCAAAACCTTGACATAATAAATGTCAAGTCCAGCTTCATATGACCAACAGAAACATCCTAGGCTGAATATGTTAATTGTTCTAAGCCAAAAGGTGGTTTCTTTGGTTTT